CTGTAACCTCTACTAACCTCCTTTAACCTCTTGTAACCCCCTGTAACCCCTTGTCATCCCCTGTAATCCCTTGTAACCACCTGTAACCCTTGTAACCCCCTGTAATCCCTTGTAACCCCTTGTCGACCCCTGTAACACTTTGTAACCCCTTGTAAGCCCCTGTAATCCCTTGTAACCTCTTGTAACTCCCTGTAGCCCCTTGTAACCCTCTGTAACCCCTTGTCGACCCCTGTAACCCTTTGTAACCCCTGGTAACCCCCTGTAATCCCTTGTAACCTTCTGTAATCCCCTGTAGACCCTTGTAACCCTCTGTAACCCCTTGTCACCCCGTGTAACCCCCTGTAATCCCTTGTAACCTCTTGTAACCCTTTGTAACCCCTTGTAACCCTCTGTAACCCCTTGTCACCCCCTGTAACCCTCTGTAATCCCTTGTAATCTCTTGTAACCCTTTGTAAACCCTCGTAACCCTCTGTAACCCCTTGTCACCCCTGTAATCCCTTGTAACCCCTGTAAACCCTTGTAATCCCCTGTAACCTCTACTAACCTCCTTTAACCTCTTGTAACCCCTGTAACCCCTTGTCATCCCCTGTAATCCCTTGTAACCACCTGTAACCCTTGTAACCCCCTGTAATCCCTTGTAACCCCTTGTCGACCCCTGTAACACTTTGTAACCCCTTGTAAGCCCCTGTAATCCCTTGTAACCTCTTGTAACTCCCTGTAGCCCCTTGTAACCCTCTGTAACCCCTTGTCGACCCCTGTAACCCTTTGTAACCCCTGGTAACCCCCTGTAATCCCTTGTAACCTTCTGTAATCCCCTGTAGACCCTTGTAACCCTCTGTAACCCCTTGTCACCCCGTGTAACCCCCTGTAATCCCTTGTAACCTCTTGTAACCCTTTGTAACCCCTTGTAACCCTCTGTAACCCCTTGTCACCCCCTGTAACCCCCTGTAATCCCTTGTAATCTCTTGTAACCCTTTGTAAACCCTCGTAACCTTCTGTAACCCCTTGTCACCCCCTGTAATCCCTTGTAACCTCTTGTAACCTTCTGTATCCCCTTGTCATGCCCTCTAATCCCTTGTAACCTCTTGTAACCCCCTGTAGCCCCCTTGCAACCCCCTGTAACCCCTTCTAGCCCCTTGTAACCCCCAGTAATCCCTTATAAAACCCTTGTAAACAAATGTAATCCCTCGTAACCTCTTGTCATCCCTTGTAACCCGCCGTACTCCCTTGTAACCCCATGAAATCCCTTCTAATCCCCTGTAAACCCCTGTAATCCCCTGAAACCTCTTGTAACCCCGTGTAATCCCTTGTAACCCCCTGTAAACAACTGTAATCCCTCGTAACCCCTGTCACCCCTTGTCAACAACAACAACAACATAAGCTTTATTTGCATGACTATAATTATGTAGTTACAGTATTGCAAAAGCTTTAATATAAAAAACAAACAAACAAATCATAACAATGATAATGCAATGATGACTGTAGTCAATCAAGTGTCATCAGCATGACTTGATAACAAATTATTACGTAAATCATTACATAATGAGACAAATTTCAACAAATGTGAATTTACGGAAAAATTCTGTGAATTCATCAATTTAATTATTAATTCTGTGTAAGATAGCTGATCAAAATCGACAAAATTTTGTTGGATTTGATCGTAGAATTTCTCCCTTGGGATTGAGTATTTTGGACAATGGAAGAGAAAATGAAATTCGTCTTCAATTATACCAGAGTTACAAATAGGACAGAGTCTATCGTTGCGGGAAGTTTGATTATATCTTCCAGTTTCAATCATGAGTTTGTGGTTACTTATACGAATTTTCACTAAATCTTTCCTATTCGCAGAATTTCTAATTAAGTCTAGATAACTTGAAATTTTATAATCATGTTTAAATAAGCTGTAAAATTGTAGTTTCTTAGAATGATGGATTGTATGTTGCCAATATGCAATATATTTTTGTTTTATTATATCTATATAGTGTTTGATCTTAGCTTCACTTAAATTATTAGGATCAAAATCAGGGAGGTCATAATATTCAGATATTTTCATAAGATTATTGTAAAAGCTATTTTTACCATTACAGTGAAGTTCTAGCGAAGTACGAAAGGCTTGTTTAACAATAGTATCCTCGTTTTTACGCAGAAGATACAATATGTAATAAAGGATGTTTTTATAAATATTAATAATTAGTGGGAACCGTCCCAATTCACTTCTACTTGCAACATTTGAAGCTTTATTGCTTATTTCTAGGTAACGCTTGCAAAATTTCAAGTGGGTTTTTTCAATTGGGGTATTGTCCCAAGCTTTAAAATCATGTTTTACATATACACCCCAAATTTCGCTATTATATGATAATATCGGGGAAATCATCGTTTCAAATATTTTGCAAGCAAGAGAAGGTTTTAATTTGCTAAAGTTTGTGTGTTTTCTTAAACTAAAAAGAGCATGAAGAGCCTTCTCCTTCAGTTGTTCGAGGGAGATATTAAAATTACCGGTTGAGGAGATACGGGTTCCTAAATATGTATATTCATGGACAGTATCAATGGTTTCTTTACCTATATGGAATTCTAGATTGGAGTTTTTCTTCGCTCGTTTTTGAAAGACCATAACTTTGGTCTTTTTGGAATTTATATCTAACATCCAAGAGTTGCAAAAAGAGGATAATGTGTTGAGACAGTTCTGCAATCCGATTTTAGATCGTGATATAATAATTAAATCATCAGCATATAAAAGCGAATTTCATTGTAACCCCCTCTAACCCCTTGTAATCCCTTGTAACCCCTTGTGATCCCTTGTAACCCTTTGTAACCTCTTGTAACCCCCGGTAACCCCTTGTCATCCCGTGTAATCCCTTGTCACCCCCTGAAACCATTTGTAACTCCGTGTAATCTCCAGTAACCTCTTCTAACCTTCTTTAACGCTTAATCGCACTTATGCCAGAAGTAATCTTCTTAGAGATTTGTTAATATGACACTCCCAAGAAAGATTTTTGAAGTCGAAACGTGTTTAATCGGAAACTGGTTAATTTCAATTATGGGATTCCTTTCTAGCGTTGACAGTCTTTGCCTAGACCCAATTAATAAAAATTCTGTCTTAGTCTTGTTTAGTGTAAGTTTGTTCGCCTCAAGCCGTATACGAATTCTATCTAAATCTATGTTAACGCAAAGCTCTATTTCTTCGATATCATTGCTCGCATAGGTGATACTAGTGTCGTCAGCATACATTCTAGGTTGCAAATGCATGAGGCAATTCGGAAGGTCATTTGCATATAGTAAACACAAAAATGGCTCCAAAATCGTTCCCTGCGGGACACCACAGGGTAAGTACGTTTCAGATGACTTGTTGCAGATAACGAGACACATTTGCATACGGTTTCTCAAATAAGAACAGACCCATTGATTAGCAGGATCACGGATACCATATGCAAAAAGTTTTGAAAGAAGAATAGCATGGTTTACCGTTTCTAAACCAATTTAAAGTCTAAGAAGACAACTGCATTGACAAAGCCGCGGTCCTAAACAGTTGTTTTTATAGTCTTTAAAGGCTTCTTTTTTATCTAGAACGTCAGCAAACACGTTTTCTCGATCTATTTTTGATAAACAAAAAATATGAACACTTTTTGACCAAAATCATGGACTATCCCCTTTGCAACAATGCCAATTTTGCCTTCTTTTTAAATCCACGTTTATATTGTCTAGAAAGCCTTGTTTTCTAACGAGAACGTCACCAAATACTTTTTCTGGGTGTATTTGGCATAAAACGAAACGTTAACAAAATTTCAAATTTTTGACCAAAACGATGGACTAACCCTTTTGGAAAAATTCTAATTTTGCGTTTTTCGTAAACAGTTGTTTTTATAGTCTTTAAAGGCTTTTTTTTTATCTAGAACGTTAGCAAACACTTTTTCTCGATCTATTTTTGATAAACACAAAAGATGAAAAAACTTCAACTTTTTGACCAAAATCATGGACTATCCCCTTTGCAAAAATGCCAATTTTGCCTTCTTTTTAAATCCATGTTTATATTGCCTAGAAAGCGTTGCTTTCTAACGAGAACGTCACAAAACACTTTTTCTACGTGTATTTGGCATAAAACGAAACGTTAACAAAATTTCAAATATTTGACCAAAACCATGGACTAACCCCTTTGGAAAAATGTCAATTTTGTGGGTTTTTGAAACCGATGTTTTCGTTGCTCAGAATGGCTTGTTTGCTATATAAAACGTCTAAAATCGTTTATTGGCGATTAATTTTCACGATCTATGACATGGGAATACAGGGGGTTACAAGGGGTTACAGGGGGTTACAAGAGGTTACAGGGGGTTACAAGGGGTTACAAAGGGTTACAGGGGGTTACAAGGGGTTACAAGGGGTGACAGGGGGTTACAAGGGGTTACAGGGGGTTACAAAAAATTATAGAAACTTTCTGCTAACTAGAACGTTCCCAGATACTTTTACTTGGTCTATTTTGCATAAAAATCAAAGTTGAAGAAATCTCAAATTTTTGACCAAAACGATGGACTAACCCCTTTGGAAAAATTCGAATTTTGCGTTTTTCGTAAACAGTTGTTTTTATAGTCTGTAAAGCCTTCTTTTTTATCTAGAACGTTAGCAAACACTTTTTCTCGATCTATTTTTGATAAACACAAAAGATGAAAAAACTTCAACTTTTTGACCAAAATCATGGACTATCCCCTTTGCAAAAATGCCAGTTTTGCCTTCTTTTTAAATCCGTGTTTATATTGTCTAGAAAGGCCTGCTTTCTAAAGAGAACGTCACCAAACACTTTTTCTGGGTGTATTTTCCATAAAACGAAACGTTAACAAAATTTCAAATATTTGACCAAAACCATGGACTAACCCCTTTGGAAAAATGTCAATTTTGTGGGTTTTGAAACCGATGTTTTCGTTGTTCAGAAAGGCTTGTTTGCTATATAAAACGTCTAAAATCGTTTATTGGCGATTAATTTTCACGATCTATGACATGGGAATACAGGGGTTACAAGGGGTTACAGGGGTTACAAGAAGTTACAGGGATTACAAGGGGTTACAAGGGAATATAGAGGGTTACAAGGGTTTACAGAGGGTTACAACGGGTTACAGGGGGTTACAAAAAATTATAGAAACTTTCTGCTAACTAGAACGTTCCCAGATACTTTTACTTGGTCTATTTTGCATAAAAATCAAAGTTGAAGAAATCTCAAATTTTTGACCAAAACGATGGACTAACCCCTTTGGAAAAATTCGAATTTTGCGTTTTTCGTAAACAGTTGTTTTTATAGTCTGTAAAGCCTTCTTTTTTATCTAGAACGTTAGCAAACACTTTTTCTCGATCTATTTTTGATAAACACAAAAGATGAAAAAACTTCAACTTTTTGACCAAAATCATGGACTATCCCCTTTGCAAAAATGCCAGTTTTGCCTTCTTTTTAAATCCGTGTTTATATTGTCTAGAAAGGCCTGCTTTCTAAAGAGAACGTCACCAAACACTTTTTCTGGGTGTATTTTCCATAAAACGAAACGTTAACAAAATTTCAAATATTTGACCAAAACCATGGACTAACCCCTTTGGAAAAATGTCAATTTTGTGGGTTTTTGAAACCGATGTTTTCGTTGTTCAGAAAGGCTTGTTTGCTATATAAAACGTCTAAAATAGTTTATTGGCGATTAATTTTCACGATCTATGACATGGGAATACAGGGGGTTACAAGGGGTTACAGGGGGTTACAAGAGGTTACAGGGGGTTACAAGGGGTTACAAAGGGTTACAGGGGGTTACAAGGGGTTACAAGGCGTGACCGGGGGTTACAAGGGGTTACAGGGGGTTACAAAAAATTATAGAAACTTTCTGCTAACTAGAACGTTCCCAGATACTTTTACTTGGTCTATTTTGCATAAAAATCAAAGTTGAAGAAATCTCAAATTTTTGACCAAAACGATGGACTAACCCCTTTGGAAAAATTCGAATTTTGCCTTTTTCGTAAACAGTTGTTTTTATAGTCTGTAAAGCCTTCTTTTTTTATCTAGAACGTTAGCAAACACTTTTTCTCGATCTATTTTTGATAAACACAAAAGATGAAAAAACTTCAACTTTTTGACCAAAATCATGGACTATCCCCTTTGCAAAAATGCCAGTTTTGCCTTCTTTTTAAATCCGTGTTTATATTGTCTAGAAAGGCCTGCTTTCTAAAGAGAACGTCACCAAACACTTTTTCTGGGTGTATTTTCCATAAAACGAAACGTTAACAAAATTTCAAATATTTGACCAAAACCATGGACTAACCCCTTTGGAAAAATGTCAATTTTGTGGGTTTTTGAAACCGATGTTTTCGTGGTTCAGAAAGGCTTGTTTGCTATATAAAACGTCTAAAATAGTTAATTGGCGATTAATTTTCACGATCTATGACATGGGAATACAGGGGGTTACAAGGGGTTACAGGGGGTTACAAGAGGTTACAGGGGGTTACAAGGGGTTACAAAGGGTTACAGGGGGTTACAAGGGGTTACAGGGGGTTACAAAAAATTATAGAAACTTTCTGCTAACTAGAACGTTCCCAGATACTTTTACTTGGTCTATTTTGCATAAAAATCAAAGTTGAAGAAATCTCAAATTTTTGACCAAAACGATGGACTAACCCCTTTGGAAAAATGTCAATTTTGTGGGTTTTTGAAACCGATGTTTTCGTTGTTCAGAAAGGCTTGTTTGCTATATAAAACGTCTAAAATAGTTTATTGGCGATTAATGTCACTATTCCGCTTGTAAGATACGCATGCAAACGTCACGCAAGTAAATAACGCACGCAGGCTAAGTAAACAACAACTCCATGATGGCGTAATAAGGGGGGGACACAGCCCTGTGGCAGGTTATAGCGACTTCGGGTTTTGCGCACAAAATAACACAAGCCTTACTTGTCGCCCCACTACCGTGGGGTAGGACAAGAGTCTTGGCAAAGCCTTTCTTATCTCCCCAGCGCCGCACAGGCTGGATCGGACAAGATTAAGGCAAAGGAATAGCTCAAAAGATGGCAAGACACAAGCAATGCCAAAAGCTTGGGGGAAGTCGCAACGCAGACTTAACCGCACCACAAGGAGTGACCCCCCAAAATTTATTGAGACAAAACATAACAACTACTCCTCCAAAGGGAGGGAGGGTGGGTAACAAAACTACTTTAAATGATTGCTTTCGTGCAAGCTAACCAAATAATGACTAGAAGTGGCATTTGCAAAGCTTTATAGTCAGACAGTGTCTCAAAATACGGCCAATAGGCACAGTTGTACTATTAACTATCTCAACTCATCATGACTAAGGTCTGGCCGTGAATAGAACTGAATAGGGCTTTGAATACAGGGACCAATCTTTGCGAAGGTAAGAAAATATACGATGACAAACATGCGACAACTCAGTGAGGTTCTAGCCATGAAAAGCTTTTGTTTTCTGCTTAAAGAATAGAGTGCTTTCATTTAATGAATCGGGCTTTCAAGACATCACCTAGCCTAAGACGAGACAGGCTTTCTCTGCCTACCCCCCTGGGGCTTCATGCTCCATTAACTGCATTTACCCGCTGGTAAATGTCTCATTAATGTCACTATTTAAGATACGCATGCAAACGTCACGCAAGTAAATAACGCACGCAGGCTAAGTAAACAACAACTCCATGATGGCGTAATAAGGGGGGGACACAGCCCTGTGGCAGGTTATAGCGACTTCGGGTTTTGCGCACAAAATAACACAAGCCTTACTTGTCGCCCCACTACCGTGGGGTAGGACAAGAGTCTTGGCAGAGCCTTTCTTATCTCCCCAGCGCCGCACGGGCTGGATCGGACAAGATTAAGGCAAAGGAATAGCTAAAAAGATGGCAAGACACAAGCAATGCCAAAAGCTTGGGGGAAGTCGCAACGCAGACTTAACCGCCACAGATGCATGCAATGCAAAACCCCAAGCAAAAACAAAACACTAAATAAAGTTCCCTGACACGCGAGCCATTTTGGGAACAGCAGAAAGCAAGACCGTTTCGGGAGTGCGAATATACAGCTGATAACAGTCCGAGGACCAACGACCTAAAACTTTTATTAACCAGTCTGGTAAGCCCGCAGCGGCCGCAGCAGACGCGGCGCCTATACGGAAACTGTGACCTTTTAGACTCTCGTATGGGAGTCCCGCACAGCGAGCAGAGTCCTGAAGTAAATGCGTAACAGAGGACCGAGTGAGAAGCCGACCCGACTGAAAGTAAAAAAGGGGCCCAGGCCGAGGCTGGGCAAGCAGAAAATACCGTTGCATCGCGGAAACGGGGCACAATAGAGAAGAGCACCGAGCGACAACGAGATTGCCCCTGTCGAAAACTGTCAGTTTTAGAAGATTTAAGTTTGAGAAGCATGTGCTGCGGGGCAAGCCAGACTTGGTGAGAAAGTCACGCAATCAGTGGTGAGGTTAAACTGAGAACTAAAACTACGTGCCCCGGGTACGTAAACTCGCTACAACGAAGAAAGGCAAAAAAGGCTAGGGTAAATGCCGCCCAGATCATAGAAAAATCCCGATCATCTAACCAGCTCTCAAGGACGGGACGGATAGCTAACAGGACCCGGGGGTCACCGGCTGACGACTTATACGAGAACACCCTGGTAACGAAGAATGCCCCTTAAAATCTTTTTTTAAAAGCAGCTTGCCCTGTAAGGGGTCATTGTAACCTGAAACTATATGTAGATTCCTGACGGCTGCTAAATATATTTTGATTGTGCAATGTCGAACTGTGCGGGCTAAATAAGACGCAAAATAGATAAGTGTCCCCTCCGACGCAGGTAAAATATCACCTGTTGGAGATGTAAGTCTGTTCATAAGACAAAATGAGATAAAACGCTTTTCTCCGGATGTATAGGTGCGTTTGGTGTTCCATGATAAGGCCCAGTTAGCATACCGTTGAACTTCATCCTTCAGAGGGTCATGAACGAAGGAGGGATGAAACAAGGGTCCGGTCGGCATTGGGTGCGAGATCCCTGAAGCGTTTGACCTGGAAACGTGAGAGGGCGTCAGCAATTCCGTTATCTACCCCGGAACGTGGCGGGCCCGTACCAAGAAGTTGTGTTTCATAGAAATGAGAACCAAAAACGGACCAGGTCCATCACCCGGGGAGCTTTTGAGTGGCCAGAGTTGATAATAGCCACGACGCTTTCATTGTCGCACCAAAATTGAAGGCGTTTACCCGCAAAATGGGGGTACCAGAGGGCGCAAGCGATAACAATAGGGAAGAGTTCTTGCCATTCAATGCTAATCCCCGTCTTCTTGTTGATAAGAAGGTGAGGCGGCCAGTGCCCTTGGAACCATTTCCCATTAAAATACCCCCGAACCCAATGGTGCTAGCTGCATCTGTGTACAATTCAAGGTCAGGGAGGAGGTAACAAAGGAATCAAGGAAGAAGGACCGCCCGTTCCATTGGGTGAGAAAAACTTTCCACATAGTAATATCCCGTTGGAATTGCTTGTTCAGACGGATATGGTGAAAACGGCTAGGAACACCCCTGGTGAGATTGATCATGCGCTGGAGAAAGGTTCGCCCGGGGACCACTACTTTACAGGCAAATTGCAAGGTGCCGATAAGGGACTGGAGGTCCACTAGACGGGCTGAGCGGCGGGCACTAAAGGAATCAAGGAGCTGACTAATCCGAGCTAGCTTATCCTCCGGCAGCCTAGCTTCCATGCGGGTACTATCGAGCACAATCCCCATAAATTCCAAGACTTGGGGGGGCCCAGGGTTTTGGCTGCTACTATTGGTACCCGGAGGGACGTGAACGCTTTTAAAAGGGTACTAAAGTTCTCTAAGCAGGTCAGCTTAGAAGACTCTGCGATAAAGAAGTCGTCCAGGATGTGGATAACATGGCCCAGGCCGTAGTTGTTTTTTAAGATCCATTCTAAGGCGTCAGAAATTTGATTAAAGAGGAAGGGTGAACTGCGGAGCCCGAATGGGAGGTACAGATCTACATAGTAACGTGATTGCCAATAAATACCCAACAGGTTCCAATCATCCGGGTGAATAGGCATAATACGGAACGCCGATTTAAGGTCGGTTTTAGCCATGTACGCCCCGGGACCCAAGGACTTCAGAATGCTTATTGCGTCGTCTACCCGTACATACTGAAGAGAATAAGGGTCTTTTGGAATATGATCATTTACGCTGTCACCCGGGGGATAGGATAGGTGATAGATAGTGCGCCATTCCGTGGAGTGCTTTTTTGGCACCACGCCGATAGGGTGGCACTGGAAATTGGGGAGTGGGGGCGAGAGAAAGGGGCCTGCAACTCTACCCAACGACATTTCCTTACTTAAATTCGCGGAAATAACCTCGGGGTGTTGGGAAGCGGAGATCAAGTTATTGGATACCCGGAATTTTTGGGGACCAAGGTAACCGATACGAGTCCCGTACCTGAGGGCATTAACTAAGTTATCAACAAAAGATCGATTAGGGTGATTAACTAATTCAAGCGCTAATTTATCTACATCGAGAGAGGTGGACACTGTTGGTCTCTGCTTCCGCTGGCACTGTTCCACTTTATTTTTTGCTGCGATCGCCCGGGGTTGCTGATTTGGTGCCTGTGGCATGCTGTCTGGAGCTGGGGCAATTGAAGAGTGCGTGACTGCTGGATCCACAGCGGCGGCAATTGTGGGGGAAGTAACAGGTACGTCGCTGACACCCTGAGGGTTTGTTGTAATCGAAGCAAACGAGGGCAGACCGGCGAGGCTTTTGCTGGGTTCCTGGTGGGGGCAGTCATCAGATTGATGGTACGGGCTAGAGCATATAGAACAATGGGGCTTAGCGGTACCCGTAAAGGTCACCGTCCAAAGTTCGATATCTATCCTATCCCATGCGATGGTAAGATCGCGAGCTGCGCGGCGTCTAAAGTGCTCATCGTATGTGTACCACGCTAAGCCCTTGAACTTAGTTACTGCGCGACTAATGATCTGCTGATACTTTATGAGCTCCACCGCCCGGTTGGGGTAGGCCGTGACGATTACCAGCATGTAAGCCATAAACGCGTCCAACCATTTTTGAAAAGAGTCTACAACTGGTTTCTTGCGCTTAACAACAGTAAGCGGGGAGCCCAAGGAGCCTGGGGCGAGTCCTCGTAACGCAATTGGAGGGCGGGGGTCTGGGTCTGGTACAGTGTTTCTGGCAAAAGCAAAGAGAAATCAACGTACTCACCGCGGAGTATTTTATCCTCGAGTGTCTTGTCCAAGGGACGATTGAGGCCGTTCGGAGAGACCACAGAAGGAACACGAGGACTTGGTGTGCTGGAAAACGCGGGAGCAGGCGGGATAACGTCGTTGTGTGGGAGCGATTGAAACACTGCTTGAACAGTCGACGAAACGGTGTCCTGGATCGCCGCTAGTTGAGCCGGGGTAAAAACAGCGTCACACAACTCCATGGGTTCCATTGGTTCTGCGTTTAAATCGACCAAAAAGGTCGCTTGTGGCGGACTCCTCCTCCTCTGGGAAGTGGTCCAAGACTTCATCTCGGTCTTGAGGTTCGGAAGGCAAGTTGGACGAGGCGGATTGACAATTGAGACTCCGTGCGGCCTGTTTGGAGCGCTTCGACGAGGTTGGTGACCTCTTGGCCACTCGACCATCAGCCCGTTTGGTTCGCGTGGGTGCAGAGAGCTGGCGGGTTCCATTCGCTGAACGAAGCCTTTCGACCAAGCGAGCGTGGTTTCCCGTGACAGGAAGATTCAGTTGTTGCAAACGAAGCCGGAGTACTTCGCTGGAAAGCTTTGAAAGGTCGGTACTTGGACGCGATGTCGCGGGCTGGGAACGTGGACGAGCCATAACAAAGCTACTTTAAATGATTGCTTTCGTGCAAGCTAACCAAATAATGACTAGAAGTGGCATTTGCAAAGCTTTATAGTCAGACAGTGTCTCAAAATACGGCCAATAGGCACAGTTGTACTATTAACTATCTCAACTCATCATGACTAAGGTCTGGCCGTGAATAGAACTGAATAGGGCTTTGAATACAGGGACCAATCTTTGCGAAGGTAAGAAAATATACGATGACAAACATGCGACAACTCAGTGAGGTTCTAGCCATGAAAAGCTTTTGTTTTCTGCTTAAAGAATAGAGTGCTTTCATTTAATGAATCGGGCTTTCAAGACATCACCTAGCCTAAGACGAGACAGGCTTTCTCTGCCTACCACCCTGGGGCTTCATGCTCCATTAACTGCATTTACCCGCTGGTAAATGTCTCATTAATTTTCACGATCTATGACATGGGAATACAGGAGGTTACAAGGGGTTACAGGGGGTTACAAGAGGTTACAGGGGGTTACAAGGGGTTACAAAGGGTTACAGGGGGTTACAAGGGGTTACAAGGGGTGACAGGGGGTTACAAGGGGTTACAGGGGGTTACAAAAAATTATAGAAACTTTCTGCTAACTAGAACGTTCCCAGATACTTTTACTTGGTCTATTTTGCATAAAAATCAAAGTTGAAGAAATCTCAAATTTTTGACCAAAACGATGGACTAACCCCTTTGGAAAAATTCGAATTTTGCGTTTTTCGTAAACAGTTGTTTTTATAGTCTGTAAAGCCTTCTTTTTTCTCTAGAACGTTAGCAAACACTTTTTCTCGATCTATTTTTGATAAACACAAAAGATGAAAAAACTTCAACTTTTTGACCAAAATCATGGACTATCCCCTTTGCAAAAATACCAGTTTTGCCTTCTTTTTAAATCCGTGTTTATATTGTCTAGAGAGGCCTGCTTTCTAAAGAGAACGTCACCAAACACTTTTTCTAGGTGTATTTTCCATAAAACGAAACGTTAACAAAATTTCAAATATTTGACCAAAACCATGGACTAACCCCTTTGGAAAAATGTCAATTTTGTGGGTTTTTGAAACCGATGTTTTCGTTGTTCAGAAAGGCTTGTTTGCTATATAAAACGTCCGAAATAGTTTATTGGCGATTAATTTTCACGATCTATGACATGGGAATACAGGGGTTTACAAGGGGTTACAGGGGGTTACAAGAGGTTACAGGGGGTTACAAGGGGTTACAAAGGGTTACAGGGGGTTACAAGGGGTTACAAGGGGTGACAGGGGGTTACAAGGGGTTACAGGGGGTTACAAAAATTATAGAAACTTTCTGCTAACTAGAACGTTCCCAGATACTTTAATTGGTCTATTTTGCATAAAAATCAAAGTTGAAGAAATCTCAAATTTTTGACCAAAACGATGGACTAACCCCTTTGGAAAAATTCGGATTTTGCGTTTTTCGTAAACAGTTGTTTTTATAGTCTGTAAAGCCTTCTTTTTTTATCTAGAACGTTAGCAAACACTTTTTCTCGATCTATTTTTGATAAACACAAAAGATGAAAAAACTTCAACTTTTTGACCAAAATCATGGACTATCCCCTTTGCAAAAATGCCAGTTTTGCCTTCTTTTTAAATCCGTGTTTATATTGTCTAGAAAGGCCTGCTTTCTAAAGAGAACGTCACCAAACACTTTTTCTGGGTGTATTTTCCATAAAACGAAATGTTAACAAAATTTCAAATATTTGACCAAAACCATGGACTACCCCCTTTGGAAAAATGTCAATTTTGTGGGTTTTTGAAACCGATGTTTTCGTTGTTCAGAAAGGCTTGTTTGCTATATAAAACGTCCGAAATAGTTTATTGGCGATTAATTTTCACGATCTATGACATGGGAATACAGGGGGTTACAAGGGGTTACAGGGGGTTACAAGAGGTTACAGGGGGTTACAAGGGGTTACAAAGGGTTACAGGGGTTACAAGGGGTTACAAGGGGTGACAGGGGTTACAAGGGGTTACAGGGGTTACAAAAAATTATAGAAACTTTCTGCTGACTAGAACGTTCCCAGATACTTTTACTTGGTCTATTTTGCATAAAAATCAAAGTTGAAGAAATCTCAAATTTTTGACCAAAACGATGGACTAACCCCTTTGGAAAAATCCGAATTTTGCGTTTTTCGTAAACAGTTGTTTTTATAGTCTGTAAAGCCTTCTTTTTTATCTAGAACGTTAGCAAACACTTTTTCTCGATCTATTTTTGATAAACACAAAAGATGAAAAAACTTCAACTTTTTGACCAAAATCATGGACTATCCCCTTTTCAAAAATGCCACCTTTGCCTTCTTTTTAAATCCGTGTTTATATTGTCTAGAAAGGCCTGCTTTCTAAAGAGAACGTCACCAAACACTTTTTCTGGGTGTATTTTCCATAAAACGAAACGTTAACAAAATTTCAAATATTTGACCAAAACCATGGACTAACCCCTTTGGAAAAATGTCAATTTTGTGGGTTTTTGAAACCGATGTTTTCGTTGTTCAGAAAGGCTTGTTTGCTATATAAAACGTCCAAAATAGTTTATTGGCGATTAATTTTCACGATCTATGACATGGGAATACAGGGGGTTACAAGGGGTTACAGGGGGTTACAAGAGGTTACAGGGGGTTACAAGGGGTTACAAAGGGTTACAGGGGGTTACAAGGGGTTACAAGGGGTGACAGGGGGTTACAAGGGGTTACAGGGGGTTACAAAAAATTATAGAAACTTTCTGCTAACTAGAACGTTCCCAGATACTTTTACTTGGTCTATTTTGCATAAAAATCAAAGTTGAAGAAATCTCAAATTTTTGACCAAAACGATGGACTAACCCCTTTGGAAAAATCCGAATTTTGCGTTTTTCGTAAACAGTTGTTTTTATAGTCTGTAAAGCCTTCTTTTTTATCTAGAACGTTAGCAAACACTTTTTCTCGATCTATTTTTGATAAACACAAAAGATGAAAAAACTTCAACTTTTTGACCAAAATCATGGACTATCCCCTTTGCAAAAATGCCAGTTTTGCCTTCTTTTTAAATCCGTGTTTATATTGTCTAGAAAGGCCTGCTTTCTAAAGAGAACGTCACCAAACACTTTTTCTGGGTGTATTTTCCATAAAACGAAACGTTAACAAAATTTCAAATATTTGACCAAAACCATGGACTAACCCCTTTGGAAAAATGTCAATTTTGTGGGTTTTTGAAACCGATGTTTTCGTTGTTCAGAAAGGCTTGTTTGCTATATAAAACGTCTAAAATAGTTTATTGGCGATTAATTTTCACGATCTATGACATGGGAATACAGGGGGTTACAAGGGGTTACAAAGGGTTGCAGGGGGTTACAAGGGGTTAAAAGGGTTTACATGGGGTTACAAGGGGTTACAGGGGGTTACAAAAAATTATAGAAACTTTCTGCTAACTAGAACGTTCCCAGATACTTTTACTTGGTCTATTTTGCATAAAAATCAAAGTTGAAGAAATCTCAAATTTTTGACCAAAACGATGGACTAACCCCTTTGGAAAAATGTCAATTTTGTGGGTTTTTGAAACCGATGTTTTCGTTGTTCAGAAAGGCTTGTTTGCTATATAAAACGTCTAAAATAGTTTATTGGCGATTAATGTCACTATTCCGCTTGTAAGATACGCATGCAAACGTCACGCAAGTAAATAACGCACGCAGGCTAAGTAAACAACAACTCCATGATGGCGTAATAAGGGGGGGACACAGCCCTGTGGCAGGTTATAGCGACTTCGGGTTTTGCGCACAAAATAACACAAGCCTTACTTGTCGCCCCACTACCGTGGGGTAGGACAAGAGTCTTGGCAGAGCCTTTCTTATCTCCCCAGCGCCGCACGGGCTGGATCGGACAAGATTAAGGCAAAGGAATAGCTAAAAAGATGGCAAGACACAAGCAATGCCAAAAGCTTGGGGGAAGTCGCAACGCAGACTTAACCGCACCACAAGGAGTGACCCCCCAAAATTTATTGAGACAAAACTTAACAACTACTCCTCCAAAGGGAGGGAGGGTGGGTAACAAAGCTACTTTAAATGATTGCTTTCGTGCAAGCTAACCAAATAATGACTAGAAGTGGCATTTGCAAAGCTTTATAGTCAGACAGTGTCTAAAAATACGGCCAATAGGCACAGTTGTACTATTAACTATCTCAACTCATCATGACTAAGGTCTGGCCGTGAATAGAACTGAATAGGGCTTTGAATACAGGGACCAATCTTTGCGAAGGTAAGAAAATATACGATGACAAACATGCGACAACTCAGTGAGGTTCTAGCCATGAAAAGCTTTTGTTTTCTGCTTAAAGAATAGAGTGCTTTCATTTAATGAATCGGGCTTTCAAGACATCACCTAGCCTAAGACGAGACAGGCTTTCTCTGCCTACCCCCCTGGGGCTTCATGCTCCATTAACTGCATTTACCCGCTGGTAAATGTCTCATTAATGTCACTATTTAAGATACGCATGCAAACGTCACGCAAGTAAATAACGCACGCAGGCTAAGTAAACAACAACTCCATGATGGCGTAATAAGGGGGGCCACAGCACTGTGGCAGGTTATAGCGACTTTGGGTTATGCGCACAAAATAACACAAGCCTCACTTATCGCCCCAGTCTACAGTGGGGTAGGACAAGAATATTGGTAGACCCTTTCTTATCTCCCGCACGGGCTGGATAGGCCACGATTAAGGCAGAGGAATAAGATGGCAAGACACAAGCAATGCCAAAAGCTTGGGGAAGTCGCAACGCAGACTTAACCGCCACAGATGCATGCAATGCAAAACCCCAAGCAAAAAAAACACTAAATAAAGTTCCCTGACACGCGAGCCATTTTGGGAACAGCAGAAAGCAAGACCGTTTCGGGAGTGCGAATATACAGCTGATAACAGTCCGAGGACCAACGACCTAAAACTTTTATTAACCAGTCTGGTAAGCCCGCAGCGGCCGCAGCAGACGCGGCGCCTATACGGAAACTGTGACCTTTTAGACTCTCGTATGGGAGTCCCGCACAGCGAGCAGAGTCCTGAAGTAAATGCGTAACAGAGGACCGAGTGAGAAGCCGACCCGACTGAAAGTAAAAAAGGGGCCCAGGCCGAGGCTGGGCAAGCAGAAAATACCGTTGCATCGCGGAAACGGGGCACAATAGAGAAGAGCACCGAGCGACAACGAGAGATTGCCCCTGTCGAAAACTGTCAGTTTTAGAAGATTTAAGTTTGAGAAGCATGTGCTGCGGGCAAGCCAGACTTGGTGAGAAAGTCACGCAATCAGTGGTGAGGTTAAACTGAGAACTAAAACTACGTGCCCCCGGGTACGTAAACTCGCTACAACGAAGAAAGGCAAAAAAGGCTAGGGTAAATGCCGCCCAGATCATAGAAAAATCCCGATCATCTAACCAGCTCTCAAGGACGGGACGGATAGCTAACAGGACCCGGGGGGTCACCGGCTGACGACTTATACGAGAACACCCCTGGTAACGAAGAATGCCCCTTAAAATCTTTTTTAAAAGCAGCTTGCCCTGTAAGGGGTCATTGTAACCTGAAACTATATGTAGATTCCTGACGGCTGCTAAATATATTTTGATTGTGCAATGTCGAACTGTGCGGGCTAAATAAGACGCAAAATAGATAAGTGTCCCCTCCGACGCAGGTAAAATATCACCTGTTGGAGATGTAAGTCTGTTCATAAGACAAAATGAGATAAAACGCTTTTCTCCGGATGTATAGGTGCGTTTGGTGTTCCATGATAAGGCCCAGTTAGCATACCGTTGAACTTCATCCTTCAGAGGGTCATGAACGAAGGAGGGATGAAACAAGGGGTCCGGTCGGCATTGGGTGCGAGATCCTGAAGCGTTTGACCTGGAAACGTGAGAGGGCGTCAGCAATTCCGTTATCTACCCCGGAACGTGGCGGGCCCGTACCAAGAAGTTGTGTTTCATAGAAATGAGAACCAAAAACGGACCAGGTCCATCACCCGGGGAGCTTTTGAGTGGCCAGAGTTGATAATAGCCACGACGCTTTCATTGTCGCACCAAAATTGAAGGCGTTTACCCGCAAAATGGGGTACCAGAGGGCGCAAGCGATAACAATAGGGAAGAGTTCTTGCCATTCAATGCTAATCCCCGTCTTCTTGTTGATAAGAAGGTGAGGCGGCCAGTGCCCTTGGAACCATTTCCCATTAAAATACCCCCCGAACCCAATGGTGCTAGCTGCATCTGTGTACAATTCAAGGTCAGGGGAGGAGGTAACAAAGGAATCAAGGAAGAAGGACCGCCCGTTCCATTGGGTGAGAAAAACTTTCCACATAGTAATATCCCGTTGGAATTGCTTGTTCAGACGGATATGGTGAAAACGGCTAGGAACACCCTGGTGAGATTGATCATGCGCTGGAGAAAGGTTCGCCCGGGGACCACTACTTTACAGGCAAATTGCAAGGTGCCGATAAGGGACTGGAGGTCCACTAGACGGGCTGAGCGGCGGGCACTAAAGGAATCAAGGAGCTGACTAATCCGAGCTAGCTTATCCTCCGGCAGCCTAGCTTCCATGCGGGTACTATCGAGCACAATCCCCATAAATTCCAAGACTTGGGAGGGGCCCAGGGTTTTGGCTGCTACTATTGGTACCCGGAGGGACGTGAACGCTTTTAAAAGGGTACTAAAGTTCTCTAAGCAGGTCAGCTTAGAAGACTCGGCGATAAAGAAGTCGTCCAGGATGTGGATAACATGGCCCAGGCCGTAGTTGTTTTTTAAGATCCATTCTAAGGCGTCAGAAATTTGATTAAAGAGGAAGGGTGAACTGCGGAGCCCAAATGGGAGGTACAGATCTACATAGTAACGTGATTGCCAATAAATACCCAACAGGTTCCAATCATCCGGGTGAATAGGCATAATACGGAACGCCGATTTAAGGTCGGTTTTAGCCATGTACGCCCCGGGACCCAAGGACTTCAGAATGCTTATTGCGTCGTCTACCCGTACATACTGAAGAGAATAAGGGTCTTTTGGAATATGATCATTTACGCTGTCACCCGGGGGATAGGATAGGTGATAGATAGTGCGCCATTCCGTGGAGTGCTTTTTTTTGGCACCACGCCGATAGGGTGGCACTGGAAATTGGGGGTGGGGGCGAGAGAAAGGGGCCTGCAACTCTACCCAACGACATTTCCTTACTTAAATTCGCGGAAATAACCTCGGGGTGTTGGGAAGCGGAGATCAAGTTATTGGATACCCGGAATTTTTGGGGACCAAGGTAACCGATACGAGTCCCGTACCTGAGGGCATTAACTAAGTTATCAACAAAAGATCGATTAGGGTGATTAACTAATTCAAGCGCTAATTTATCTACATCGAGAGAGGTGGACACTGTTGGTCTCTGCTTCCGCTGGCACTGTTCCACTTTATTTTTTGCTGCGATCGCCCGGGGTTGCTGATTTGGTGCCTGTGGCATGCTGTCTGGAGCTGGGGCAATTGAAGAGTGCGTGACTGCTGGATCCACAGCGGCGGCAATTGTGGGGGAAGTAACAGGTACGTCGCTGACACCCTGAGGGTTTGTTGTAATCGAAGCAAACGAGGGCAGACCGGCGAGGCTTTTTGCTGGGTTCCTGGTGGGGGCAGTCATCAGATTGATGGTACGGGCTAGAGCATATAGAACAATGGGGCTTAGCGGTACCCGTAAAGGTCACCGTCCAAAGTTCGATATCTATCCTATCCCATGCGATGGT